CGACAAAACAAAATTTTAGCTACAGATACGACTAAGATTATGATTTTGGTGCTTTGAAATGCCTTATTATACCTTTGTAAATAGAATGACTTACCACTTTCATTTTCCAGACAACCATCTTCATTATCCAAATTATTAGATCCGTCATTTTCCTTGTTATGATCATCCAAGGTACATTCTGTAGAAAGAATTTTAGTTCCAGTTGCTACAAATCAGTTAAATTCGCTAATAGTTTAATAAAGAAATTAATGTTTCATTTTACCAGAAGTGGAGGCCTGTTGGGAGGTTCTTGCATTATCGTCACTATTGTCCAGGCACGTAATTTTAGAAGCTAATTCTACAATTCGCTTACTTCTCAACGACATTTTCAATTATAATAATAAACAATGCAACAAAATAACCGTCACTGTGCTTTTCCGCTAATGACTGAGTAGTGAGTAACTCGCCCCACCACACAACTCGCGTTCATGATTCTTACGAAAGAGTCGTAAGTCAAGCACTCCAGCAAACTGGCGTGTATGATTCCTACGAAAATAGTCGTAACTCAAGATACGACTATTTTCGTCGCACAATTCTCCAGCAGTTGAGTTACGACATTTAAGACACCGCGTTTGCGCAGTCACGGAGCGACATTTAGTTACGACAGTTTTCGTAGGAAAAGAAGCGGACTTTTTAAGTTCGGTTACAGTGGTAACTCAAATAGCGACAATTTCGGAGTTACGACAGTTTTCGTTGGAGCAGTCGAATTGACAATAATAAAAATTGGACCGGTCCTCTCATACGGGTGTAGGGGTGTACTTAGAATCATAAATAACGATACAAAAAAATGCATATTAAACGATTTTCATTTACTTCCTACAAGTGGACATGCTGGAGTGCAGCGAATCAAAAATAGTATACAAAAAAATATTACTTTTGGCCAGGTCTTAGTAAGGATGTGAGCGATTTTGTTAAAAAAATGCACGAGTTGTCAAAAACAAAAACAGAGTAAACATACTAAAGTACCAATGACTATAACCAGTACCGCAAATTCAGCTTTTGAAAAGATTTATTTAGATATAGTTGGACCTCTTGACAAAGACGAAAATGATTTTGTTTACATTTTAACGTTGCAGTGTGAATTGTCAAAATTCGTAGAAGCGTATCCATTAAAGTCTAAAGATGCTGTTACTGTAGCTAGGAGTTTCGTTGAAAACTTTATTCTTAGATACGGAATTCCCAAAGAAATTGCAACCGATCAAGGGTCAGAATTTATTTCAACTACAATGAGGGAAATATGCAAGCTTTTGCAAATTAATATAGTTCATTCAACTGCGTATCATCATGAAAGCA